CGAAGGGCGCTTGAGAAGCTGTGTTTGCGTGTTTGATTGGTTGCTTGTTTCTTTTGCTTGCTTGTTCGTTTGCTTGCTTGCGTGCTTGCTTGTTTGCTTGCTTGTTTGTTTGGACGAGGACTGCTGTGGGGATGGGGGTTGGAGGCAGGGCAATCCATCTGATCAGGCCATGGAAGGAGTTCTGCGGCATGCGCCAGCCTTGGTGTCCTGTGATTCCAGCACCTTCGGGCGGGGAACCCCCGCCTTTCCTGTTGCTACTTCCATCTCGTTTTTGTTTCTCTCTGGCAGAGAACCATTCATATGATTTTCCTTCTGATGTGTGGTTTGACAAATGTGTGTGCTGCATTGGAAGCCATTGCTTCAGCATGTTTCAGCCATTCCTTCAGTGTCACTGAGACAGGAGGTGCTTGTGTAAGACGCTCGGCTATTTGTTTGGTTGATACCGGGTTCTGCGAACAAAAAGCCATAATGTGTGAAGGAGCGCTGTGACATTTGAAGCCAAATTGAGTGTTTTCGTGCCGCAGGCTTCGCTAACCAGGGGCACATCCAACTTTGAAGTTGGGGGGCGAGGGGGTCGGCACCTGTTGCGCAGTTGGTTTGGGGCAGATGGCTGCTCTTTTTTTTTCAGGGGGTGGTACCTGTTGCGAAGTGGATTTGGGCAGATGGCCGCTCTTTTTTTCGCAGAACCCGGTATGGCCTGAGCACTTGGCAGGGAAATACCATTGATGAGTACCTCGCGAGGTTTTTTTTTGGGGGGGGAGCGAGCAAATTTGCGAGCTTGGAATTTGGGAAGGTTCCTTTGGGAAGGTTCCTTTCAGATCCCTAGTTGCCAGTTGAGTTATTCTGACTCAAGCTGCTCTTGTGTAAGAGTCGCCGGTGGGACTCATGTGGAAGGCAGCTGTTTGAACAAGTCTTTCCATCTAGACCGCGCAGCTGCATAGCTAGTTATTGTTAAGTTCCTACTGCTGCGCACTATTTAAATCCTTTTGTTTGCAACTTGTTATTTTTGCACGTGTGCTGGTTGCAGAGCAGTTAATACAAACAAGTGGAAACATGCACTTTCAAAGGCTGCTGTTCACCAGGCTGGGGAAAAATGTACGTAACTAATCCCGACGACGATGGTTTGTCAGGTGTACTCCCACAGCTCGCACATAGCTGGAATCAACAGGTGATTGCCTTCCACGGTCAAGTTTTGCCACTTCCGACTTGTGAAGGAATTGCTAGACCCGCTTACGAACCAGAACAAGTCGACTTGATTGGAAGCAGGCCTTCGTTGCTGATAAGCTCAAGCTGAGGATCATTTCCTCGCTCCGATCTGTCCTTCTTGAGTTCCTTCCGTGCTTTGTGTGGTCAACTTGCGTAGATGCGCGCCTTGCGTTTTGGACAGCATTTGGGGGTCTGCAGACGCATCCACATCCATATTGGAGGAACTGACTCACAAGTATTGCTGGTCTATTGCTAGTCTAGGCAGGACATGGGGCATCATTGGGCGATCCACTTTCCCACAAATCCTGGGGCCCCTCCAATTTTTCCGTGTCCTGTTAGGGAACTACTTTTTTGGTCCGTGTCTCTGGTGTTTTTCTGTGAGCTGTTGCTGAGGTGATGAACTGCTGTTGCCTGACCTCCAGTCAAGCGCAGAATCAGCTCACGTGCGCGGAGGGGCCGCGGGGTTGTCGGGCGCAAAGTGACTGCAGGGTTTGCCTCCCAGTTTTGGGAAATCCTACTGGGCTTGTCACAAGGGGAATTGCTAGAATGCCAGAATGAGCTGGTCTCCAAGTTGGGAACCTCTCTATTAGTCTCTTTGGATTCCCTTTAAAGCAACCCAAAGACCGTAACATAAAGCACAGGCTTCCATCTTTTTGGAATGCGGCAAGACCAGCAAACGACAGGCGTAGAGGTCTTACGTCTCACTGTTGCTGCATGATTGCAGCCTGCAAGCGGCCGATGTACGAACTCGTGCCAGCCAACCAATGAACAGCTAGGCACGCATGGGGTTATGGGTCAACATTAAACCACCAAGGGACCGCAGGTTTTTGTCCATGTTTCCATTTACCAGGGTTCCATTTTGTTTACCTATTTTTGACCGACAGCCACGGGAAGATACTCCAGCATCGAAGACCCACTTTGTCGCACCCCGAGTCTCGCGGCAAAACGCGAGTAGAAGGTGACCATTGCCCACCTGCGTTTTGATTTGCCTGCAACTGCAACCTGACAAGGAGAATCCTATGGCAGGATCATTGCTTTATAATTTATAATATGTTCCCCCCTATTACATTAGTAAATGCACCCTATCAATATGATTTTCCCCCGACCCTCAACATCCCAATACTAAGTTGGGATTATCCAATACTAAGCAAATTAATTATAAACTCCTGGATTTCCCGCCGACGTAGCTATATTAGTGGTCATGGTGCAGCACGTCACTATGCCAAACCCTTTTCTACATTCTTGAAACAAAGCCACATCCGTCCCTGGCTGCCAGGCAATGTATATTTATTAGGGGGGTATGTTTCGATGTTTATCATTAGGGGGAAGTAGGCCATGCGTATAGAACGGCTGGGCACTCTATGTTGCAGTCAGATGTTGCCCCAAGCAGTCAATGCGCCACACAGGTACGACCACCCCAGGGTAGAAGATCTACACACCAACTGGTCTTTGCCGTTTCCTGCACCGCCCTCATCTGGAGAGGCTGGGAAAGCAGTTGGAGCAGAGTAAGAATGGAGAGCTCAAGAAGCTAAGCTTTCTTTATTCAAGACATATTGAATGTTATATCACTAAAACATAAAGCTATTATTACGACTGTCCATGTCTGTGGCAAATGAATCATTCAGACAAGATGAGTTCAAAACCAATTGTCGAAGATTCGTCGCCTCCATGGCAGCTCTAGTGCGTGTTTGTGTGTGTGTGCGCGCGTGTGTTGTTTCAGTTGGTGTCAATTTATGCGTCTCCGGGTACTCTCACTCTGCCCCTCAACTCACCTCAGACTGCAGAATATATTATATAAAGCTTGGCCATGTTCCCAACCTGCCAAGAAACACACTACCCTCCTGTCCACTAACGTCGAACCTGACTGAGGGGTCCTGGAAGACGATTGTCCTTTCACATGGACCCTCTAGGGGGGTCCAGGTAGTGGACACAGCGCAAACCTTTGCAAGCGGCAATGACGTACACCACCAGCAAGAACAAGACACCCGTAAAATGAAAAGGCACAAACTGCGTCTCCTCAGATTTTGGTTCATGACATACCTGCAAATGACTTCATTCAAAATGGCATTGGAAAGGGACGATTTGCTTCTGTCATTAATATTTGAAGTAAGCTCATTGCAGGATTACGTGTGAAATTCACGTTGAAGTATCCTTTGGATTTATAACCTCCGTATTTTTGTTGAGGTGGGGGATCTGAACGTGAACGCCAAAGCACCAAAGCGTTTAGCTCTTCAAATCAAGCCAAACATGAAACGTCTATTAAGCACAGAATTATCCGACATAAAGCGACTGTAGGAAGCAATGGAGAAGGCATAGTGGGTGAAGCCATCTCAGGCTTCTAAGGTTTTCCGAACCAACTTGCAGAGGCGTTTGGAATCCTTTGCGGCGGCATCACTCGATTTGATGGAGTGAGGCAACCGCAGCCTGTGCGTGGCTTCAGCGTCCCGACGAAAAGCACTCCGGGACTCCGGAGAGGTCGACGGCGGCCTCCCCTGGCCCCCCGAGAAAAAAAATCCGCGCCATGCGGGAGGCGGCGGTTTCGCGGGAGCCCAGCTTGGCACCAGAGAAAGCGAAAACCACAAGAACAACTTGCGCCACTACGCACTAGGGGGCAAGTGCGAACCTGACACGGGTTCAGGCACTGGGCGACCGCTACACAGAGACCAAGGACTGAGACAAACCCTTGGTGGAAATACTGACTGGAAGCGTCAGAGCCGTGCGTGTTGGT